AACATATACCAATGGCATTTACAGGATATACCAGAAATCAGCAAAATACTATACAAATCAATAAATGACTGCAAATGTATATATACTGCATAAACCGAAAATGAAACCAGATTCCAGATTTTGAACAAGGCATAAACTGGACAGAAATAAAGTCAGAAAAACCTTCCCTTTTTACCAGTCGATGCACACCATTGAAGCCAAGTTCTTCCTCCTATTTTCGGCTGAAACGTTAGGCTCAGGAACAACCTTCTATGCCATGCAAATCGCCTTCCAGAGGTAGCAAGAGAACCGGCCAGAATGCTTCCCTACTTGGCTTGGATCATCGACCGAAGGTCTACCAAGAACAGCCAAGAATCACGCCCAAATCTGACCTACCGAAACCTCAGAGAAACCCAACCCCTTAGCCACTATTTCAGGCCTAAGAACACACAAGGAGTTTCATCAATCAATGGGCTAAAGGTCGATTTCTGGGCAAAGGAAGAAGGGGAAAGAACAAGCCTCAAAACTGTAGAGGCAGAGCGGGGCAGACAAGAGAGAAAATCGTGCCAAAGAAGGAAGTCGAGGTTGTGTGTCAAAGAAGCCAAAGACCCACGTGATATAGATTCAAAACAAGAAAATATCTCACCCACTTCAATCTCAACCGTAGATTGAATCAAAGGTCACAAATGGTTCAAAGAAAAACACACAGACCGAGTTATAGCATAGGCCCAAAGGGGGTGTTAAAGAGAACCACCAAACAAGCCCAATAAGCCCACAAATACAAACCTGACCCAATTCGAGGTCCTGGACAACGGTACCATTGCAGCAAAACTCTTTCTTCAGGTCCTTAAGTATTTTATTATAGCTGAATTCTTTCTTTAATCCCTGCACAGTTGTTAGGCTTTGCTTACCATTCGTCTATTGTATACGTATATCGACAAGAAAACACTATCTGTAAGAAAACTTCACAATGCAGAAGAACACAATCCTAGATTGACTAAAGAGCGCAATGGGTACACCATCTTCTTCTCTCATTCCATATCTTTAGCGATGAACGTGTACACAAATGAACACACAATTGACGTGTCACACTACAAAATATGTGAAGGATGAAAAAGTAAATTTGTTGGAGACTATACACAAAAGTGATGTCCAAATTGCATCAATTGATCTTCAAAACACTCGAGGGAATGGAAACCAACATCAGATGTTGAGTTAAATGTGTAATTAGTTACAGTTGACGATTCCAAGAACAGATGTTGAGTGTCAGAATATGTGAAGAAGAACAGAGTAAACTAGTTGGAGATAATACTGATTACACAAAGTCCTGTCCAGATTGTATCAATTGATTCTTCAAAAACCACTTGAGGGAACGGGAACCAATAACAGATGTCGAGTATCATTAGCTAAACTTGACTAAACGGGATTATGAAGTCTCCAATGACTGCAATCTCATAAAAATTCAAGGCAAAGAGTTCGAGTGAATACTGGCAATATCCCATTATTCCTCATGATAGATGCCAATCTTATCTGAAAAAATGTAATCCTATTTTTGCAAATAAATCAATATAGATAAAAATGATTATGATGGAGGTAGGGGTGTCAACGAGCCATGCCGCAACTTTTTGCTTGGGCTCGGCTCGAGTAAAAATACTTCTAGCTTTTTTTGGCTTGTTTTGTCAAAAAATTTAGGCTCAATCCGAGCTTTCTGCCCGAGCCACTTGATTTTTGTTTTTTTTTTTAATTTGTGACAAATCTAGGGGCTGTCTAGTGAAACTGTTTGCAAGAATTTTTAGCACAAATCAGACTGTTTAGCCGCAACAATTGACTTCCTTTCTCTCGGGCGGGCCCCACTAACGTTCCTTTTTGTGATTTTAATCTGTGGAAAATCTGGAACAGATAGCCCCCTAAATTTTTTTTAAAGAATTTCAAATTTGTGCAAT